CAGAATAGGGCAAATCACTCATTCCATCCTTGATTCAGTCAACAGACATTCCTTGTACACCAGACACGGGCCAGCAGTGCCTAGGTAGTTCAGGAGGCAAAGCCTAGGTGTGCCCCCTCCTTTGGGGTGTCCAATCAGCAGCAGGTGTCCTCATCAGTCGTGGGGACGTGGAGTCTGGCCCTCACAGTGCTACTCTAAGGAGCAGAGGCGCGAGCCCACAGGAAGTACTTAGGGTGGTAGGTGTGAGAGGAGAGCTCAGTCAGGGTTCGTTACTGTCATCATCCTTATCACTGCTCTGAAAGGTATGAAATGGGAGACATAGGCTGAGAGAGGGGTCAGCTGTCCAGTGCGAACCTGGGGAGAGAGGGAGCTGGATAGCATGGGTGGAAGGAGGGGACAGGCTCACAAGGGCTGCGGGGACAAGGGAAGGCAGGCGAGTGACAGAGCCAGAGACAAGAGCAGGGGAAGCGTGGTCTGGGAGCACTGCAGTGGGAGAAGCAAGGCTGGGCGGACTCATCCTTGGTCAAGTGCCCGCTCTCTGCTGGTGCGCTGGGAGTGCAGGGCAGGGTAGGGCCTGGGTGCTGGGCAGGCTGGAAGCCGGTATCTTTGGTTCCCTTCTATGCAGCCCTTCTCCCAGACTCTTGACTCCTCTTTGGCTCCACCTGTGGGAGAGGCTCCTCCCACTTGGCCCCCAGGCCTGCTGGAGGCCTTGGGGATCAGGCCAGGCTCCTTGGCTGGCTGTCCATCTGATATCTGTGTGGTCTCCTCAGGAGAATTGCTCTGGACAACTCGAACACCACTCAGACGGATTGTACAGCCTCCCAGCCCCGACATCTCCCACCACTGCATCAAGCCAAATTACTCGGTGCCCCCCAGCCTGGGGCCTTGGTGAAATCCGATTAGTGAAGAGAGAGCCGTGCTGAGCTGACAGTTCCTCCGATAATTGCTTCCCAAGTAAGCGATGCAAATCAGCCCATCCAGCCTGTCCTGCTCCTCTCCTGGGGACCCAGGTGTCCCAGTCCCAGGACTGGGAGAACACCCGAGTTGGAGAGACTTGGAAGCTGCCACCTGCCTTCAGTTAAGTGGCCATCAATCCGTAAAGCTGGTCTGGGCTGCTGGAAGGGCTGGGGGTGGTGAGGCTGGCCAGGAACCCCGCTGGCTATACATTTCTATCTCTTCTGAGAGACTGTCATGTTGCCTCTCATCTTACCCCTTGGAGAAGTATCCTCTGTACCCATTTGCCAGTGGGGCAGAGGAAGGCAGAGATACAGGAGACACAGGGACAGGGACATGGCTAAATGTGTCCCTGTGGGCAATGGAAGGTTGCATCAGCCGGGCTTTCCTGGTTTCCCGGTTCTCTGGTTCTGGGAGGGAGCGGGGAGCGGGACGTGTGGGACCTGAAGATAGCCTTCTCCCTCTGTGAGTCTCCTCCCCACTGGGCTGGGGAGAAATCAGGGTCCTTTTAAGAGCCTGTTAATACCTCTTTCTTAGTGCTTTTCCTTCCTACATCTTTACCTTGAGTTCTTTCTTTCTCTGACCCTCTCATCCAATTTCCTGCTGATCTTGGAGACCTGAAAAGTACTTCTCTTGTAATCCTAAACTTCCGGCCCCTAGACTTGCCCATATGGCTTTGTGGAAATCTCCAGGGATGTGTTGCCCAGTCTTGTCCTTTGTGTGTGTGTGTGTGTGTGTGTGTGTGTATGTGTGTCTGATGTGGTTCTATGGTCTGGATCTTGGGTTCTCAGACTAGCGTCTGCCTGAGACCCTGACACATGGTTATAACAGCAATAACTAACCTTTAAGGAGCTACTATTCTGAGCTAGGCACTCTACTGAGCACCATGTAACTAAGTCATTTAATTATCACAAAAGAAGAGATGGTTTACAGTGATAATCCCATTTTACGACTGAGCTAACCGAGGCACAGAGAAGTTAAGGAACGTGTCCAAGGTCACTACTAGTAAGTGGCAAAGTTGGATTCAAATCCAGGCCGTCTGAGTCCCAAGACCATGCTCTAAAGGCCTCCACTACGCCATGTCTCCTCTGTTGCTCTTTTAATGTTTACTGGGCTGAGAGAGGGAAAGTGCCCAGCATCATAGTGGAGCTTGGGGATATGGCCACTGAAAGACAAACACCAGAAGCCCTTTGGGGTTCCCTAGGGCAGAGGTGGCAGGAGCTACCAAGGGTCACATCTGGTACTTGGGGAGAGGGAAACATGGCCCTCACCTTTTCCAATCCCCAATATCTATTTTCTGCACCTGAGCCATGCAGCTAGACAACTCTCCTCTCTACTCTGACAGCATGGAAGCAGGGACAGGGTGGAAAAAGATCCTCCTAAGAGCCGCTGAGCCTGGAGTCAGAGCTAGGATCACCAGAGGCCGATAGATGGCGCTCACGGCCCAACACAGCCTCCGGAGCTCTCCGAAACCAAAGGAAAACAAGCCCTCAGGTTAACCCCTTCCTGCCTGGGCTCCCGCCCCAGGAGCAGCCTGGTGGGCAACAGAGGGCCCTGACCCAGGCCCAGCTAGCCCCAAACTGACCCAATTCTCTAGGCTCTGTTCAGGCCACAGGTCTTCTTCTGTTTCTACCCCATAAGTTCTATCCATAAATGACAGTCAGCCAGCTTTTGGAGACTTCCCAGAGGGCCAGGAGCCTGGGACACAGGCAAGACAGGTTGGGAGGGATTCACCCTACCCCAAGTTTCTCCTCTCAGGCCCTACCTCTTGAAAATTTATGGGTCTCTGTTTCTAAGCACCCCCACTGCAGGGTTTCTCACTTCCATCTTCCCTCAGAAGGACCCACCACGTGGGGAGGTGTAGCATGGCCTAGACAGAGAAGACTCCCAGACCCTTCTGGGGTCAGCTGCAGGGACTCACTGTGGGGTTGCCCAAGACTCAGTTTCTCCCTATGTTCAGACCTCCTATTTCTGGGGTTCTGGGATAAATGGGGTTACATAAACAGTTATCTAATTCTCCTGGAAGCTGACATTGGGAGTTAGGGTCCTGGAGGATCTCTGCTTGCCTGCCATGCATTTCCCTCATTACTTTCTTATCAGAAGCAGACTTGGAAAGTGGAGGGGCTGCCATGGTGATAAGCTGGAAGTGGTTGGCAAGCAAGTGGCAGAGGGGTAGGGTGGGCAGGAGGGCTGTCCAAGGGATGATGAAGCCCCTAGAATTTAAGTAATAAGATGATAGCACAGTGTGGGTCCTTGCCCGCCAATTTTTGTTTGGCAACATACAAATGCATAGATCTATGAAGACAGAAGAACCTGAGGGGACAGTCAGTTCTAGAAGCCTGGGATACTCTTATTTCAGACATTCCAGAGAAAGAAGCAGAGACACAGGGTAGATGTACACAGAGGGGGACAGATACACAGATACAGAGAAAAAGCTATACTGGCTCAGTCAGTTAAGCATCAGACTCTTGGTTTTAGCTCAGGTTTTGATCTCAGGGTTGTGAGTTCAAGGCCCATGTTGGGCTTCACACTGGGCATGGAGCCTACTTAAAAAACAAAACAAAACAAAACAAAACCCCCCATAGTTAGAGAGTAAGGGTAGAGATACATTTACATAGGCAGTGAGAGGCAAAGACACAAAAAGGGAAAGAATCTGGCACAACCAAAAGCTCAGGAAATAACAGACTTTGTGAGGTGGATGATTAACTCTGTTTCCAAAGTCTGGCAAAGGTGGGGGTGGTTTCTCACCTTTGGTGTCAGAGGGTTGCTGCTCACATTTCCTTAAAGCCCATGCTGCTTTTGTCTGTTGGTAGAAGGGCAGGGAAAGGTTGGCGAGGGGGTAGCATCCTTGTTTTCTCACCTTTTCCTGTTCTAGGGTCTACTGGTCTTCTTCTTTACCACCTGTAGGGAGACCTTGCTTCTTCCCGATCTCAGGAATGGCTGTGCTGAGATGTGCAGGAGGTGGGACGTATCCAGAAGGCAATCAGCCTTATGGAGTTTCCGGTACAATGAAAACCTTATAGTTAGGACACAGAATATACTGAGATGGAGGACAAGAACACAATTGGGGGTGCCTGGGTGGCTCAGTCTTTGGCCCTCTGCCTTCAGCTCAGGTCCTGGGACCTACCCCACATTGGGCTCTCTGCTCAACGGGGAGTCTGTCTCTCCCTCTCCCTCTGCTGCTCCTCTTGCTTGTGCTCTCTCTCTCTGTCAAATAAATAAACAAAATCTTAAAAAAATAAAGAACATAATTAGGAGTGGACAGCTCTGGACATTGTTTTGGATTGGGGAGTTGGGAGGTAATGGATTATTAGGCGCAGCCATGGGATTAGGAATATTCAGGGAAGTATTTGAGGGGAAGGATTGGGAAGCATGGGAGATTATAGGGGTGGGTAGATTGCATGGCAGAGGAGGGAGAGAAGTCAAATGTGAAAGCCATGGAGAAATAGGCTTGGGCAGTGATGGGAGATAGAAGAGTCTCAAAACCATTAGTAAAGAATTGTTAGGAGATTCCAAAAGTGCCTCTGTGGATGGTTTATTATTTTTTTATTTTTACTTTTATTTAAGATTTTATTTATTTATTTGACAGAGAGAGATCACAAGTAGGCAGAGAGGGCGGGGAAAGCAGGCTCCCCGCTGAGCAGAGAGCTCAGTGCAGGGCTTGATCCCAGAACCCTGGGATCATGACCTGAACCCACGGTAGGGGCTTAACCTGCTGGGCCACCCAGGCGCCCCTCTGTAGATGTTTTAGATACAGTCCTTGGAGGGCTGCAAAAGAGGGATCTCTTATCTGTGGGGCGGCAGGAGGACTAGAAATGGTTTTTTAACCACTGTTAATACTCTCAGGTGAGTTTTGAGATTGGGGATGGTTGAAGTTCTTTGGTTCGCAATCCTGTTCGGAAAAGTCTTGTGGATGAATTTTTGGAAAGGTGTTGCCCTTTAGGGCTACAAACCAGGACCTCCGTGGTCCTTACTGGAACCTGGGCTCCCTGAAAACTTTCTTGTTTTTTTTGCCCTGCTATAAGAGATAAACTACGTGCTTTCCGGCCTCCTCCTTGCCTCTTGCTGTGCTGGCTGCGCGCTCCCCTGCTCCCTCCGTAGCCATGCCTCGCAAAATCGAGGAGATCAAGGACTTCCTGCTCACTACCCGGCGAAAGGACGCCAAATCCGTCAAGATCAAGAAAAATAAGGACAATGTGAAGTTCAAAGTTCGGTGCAGCAGATACCTTTACACCCTGGTCATCACGGACAAGGAGAAGGCAGAGAAACTGAAGCAGTCCCTGCCCCCAGGTTTGGCAGTGAAGGAACTGAAGTGAACCTGGCCCACTGATTTGAACTGTATTAAAGTTTTAAAAATTCTTAAAAAAAAAAAAAAAAAAAAAAAAAAAAGAGAGAGAGAGATAAACTACGTTCCCCAGAGTCACTTAGGGCTAATTTAAGAAGCCTTCCGGGGATCTAAGTATTTCCGGCGGAAGTTGCCGCGGCTACGCCAATCTCTTTCCATAAACAAAGTAGACTACGACTCCCACTGTCCTCCGAGCCCGGGGGCGGGGAAGGGAACCGGAAACCGGATGGAGAGCAGAACCAGGTGAGGGAGTAGGAGCCTGGGAACCTGGGGTCCTGAGGGGCAGGGCTGGGGCTCTCAGGCTTGCGGGGTGGTGTCGGGCGGGGAGTCGGAATGTTTGTGCTTTGGGGACCTTCGCTCTGTCTGGGGCTTGCCCCGGCAGAGAAAGAGTCGAGCCCACGGAACCGGCCCGGAGAGCCTGCGGGGACGTGGTTTTCCCGTCGGGCGGAGCCCGAGGCCGGGCGCGGAGATTTCCTATGGACCCTTAACCGGTGGCCCTCTCAGAACCAGTAGGAGGGATAAGTGGTGTTTAAAAATCCAAGTTCTGGTACTACTGCTGTTAGTTTAAGGATTTGCTGATTGTCCCTGTCGATTCCTAGAGTGCTTCCAAGGGACAGGGGAGTGGATAGTGTCTTTGATTCCTTTTTCACTTCCTGAATTTAGCGTCAGAGACCCAGATGGCCAAACTTATTGCTGGATCACCCTGAGCTTCCTTTGCATTTAGTATGACACTGTAATTTATAATATATCTACGTTTTTTAAGGCTTTGGTTCTTGGTGGCTTTAGATAGGACTTTCAGGTTCCTCCTTAGGGTTCTCATAGTGTATTGTTTAGGAAGTTAAAGCTCAAACCACAGTGTATTACAGTTGTTTATGTGTCCTCTCTCGGTAGTTTATGTGCCTGGCCTACATTTTACTCATTTTGGATTTCTTCCTTGTCCAGAGACGACCACAGTGCCTACCGTGGAAGAGACTCATAAATATTGGGGGAAAAAAAAAAAAAGAGTTAACAGTTGGTGGTAGGTTGGATGGAATTTGTGGTTTTCATTTCAGAGAGAGGAGAGTTAAATGGTTTGCTTAAGAGAAACTTAGAGATAAAACCAGGATTAAAAGTGGAGTTGGGGGGGGGCGCCTGGGTGGCTTAGTGGGTTAAGCCTCTGCCTTCGGCTCAGGTCATGATCCCAGGATCCTGGGATCGAGCCCCGCATCAGGCTTCAGAGAGCCTGCTTTCCCTTCTCTCTCTACCTGCCTCTCTTCCTACTTGTGATCTTTCTCTCTGTCAAATAAATAAATAAAATCTTAAAAAAAAAAAAAAAGTGGAGTTGGGGGGCGCCTGGGTAGCTCAGTGGGTTAAGCCTCTTCCTCCAACTTGGGTCATGGTCTCAGGGTCCTGGGATGGAGCCCCATATCGGCTCTCTGCTCAGCAGGGAACCTACTTCCCCCTTTTTCTCTGCCTGCCTCTCTGCCTACTTGTGATCTCTCCTTCTCTGTCAAATAAAGAAATAAAATCTTAAAAAGAAAAAAAAAGTGGATTTGGTTGACACCCAGACTGTGTCTTTTGCTCTCAGATTAGGTTTGAAACTGGAACGCTGCAAATAAAGCCTTATCTTTTTTTTTTTTTTTTTTTTGTACTCTGCAGCCTTGCTGTCTCCAGCACAGCTCAACCTAAGACTTGAGAGAAGTCTCTGAGCTGGAGCAGCCAGCCCCCTAACATGGGGACTACATGGGGATGTGCACAGCAAGGGCTCCAAAGATATTTGAGTTCTACACAGCTTCCTTCTTGGCTTTTGTTTGAGCCCAGTTGGCCCTGGTTAGCCGTCTGGACAAAACAGTAAAAGACTTTGGGATCAGTCTGGAGAAGGATTTCCTAAGTTTGGCCCTGACATTTTTTCTCTCCCACTTACACTAGGCTAGGGTCCAAGAACAGATTGATGGATCAAGCTGTTCTGTCAACCCTGAGGTCTCATGAGGGAGAAGAACCTTGATCCCTGCCCCATGGGAGGCCCAGACATGATGGAAACACACCCAGAGCCTGGCAAACCCTCGGAAACAGTTGGAGTGCAATGTGGGCAGCTGAGCCTTGAGTGAACTTGGGCTGTAGAAATGGAGAGGAGTCTATCAGGAAAGACTCCTTGGTAGAAGGTCGTTTTATTTATTTATTTATTTGAGGGAGAGCATAAGAGGGGAGAAGATCAGAGGGAGAAGCAGACTCCCCATGGAGCTGGGAGCCCGATGTGGGACTCAGTCCTGGGACTCCGGGATTATGACCTGAGCCAGAGGCAATCGCTTAATCAGCTGAGCCACCCAGGCGCCCCGGTGGAAGGTCATTTTAAAGAGGACTGAAAAAGGTAGGATGGACAGAGTTGAGTGGGTATTTGTTGACTACCTAATAAAAGCTAGGACCTCAAAGATACAGAGGGAAGTTGAACGGGACCTGGCTTCTGATCTCAAGTCTAGGTAGGGAGGCAAGGTGTGAATTCAGGAAGAAGCCACGAACCATGGTGATGGTGCAGTGGTTTGAGCCTTCATCAACCATCACAGTCACCTGAAGAAATTTGTTTAAAATACAGATTCCCAGGTCTCAGTCCAGCCCTACTCCTGTGTGGGATGGGGCTGGGAAGTTTCAGCAGTGCTACAGTGTCCTAAGGAGGGCAGGCTTTACCAGTGGGATCGTTGGAGCTGCATCTTGAAGGATGGCTATGATTTGGGTGTGTGGAGAGGCAGAGGAGTCACAATCCTGATTGGCTCAAGGAGTGTATTTGGTTGGGTTTGAAGAAATGGCATATACAGAGTTTTGGGAGTTGGGGTGGAAAGGCATTTTTGAAAGAGTGAGTGTAAGGCTGGAACACTGGATTTGCATGGGAATTGTGAGGAGGAAGATTAGAAAGAATGGTCTTTGTAGGCTATTGAACTTGCTGGAGTGCTCCCTCTGCCTCCTCCCTGCTTCTTCCTTCTTTCTCTTCTGCTTCTCCACTTCCTTCTTGCCTCCCAACCCTCACTTGTATGTTAAATCTTCCATCTTTTGAATTGCTACTATTGAATGTGTATTACTATTCTGAGTATTTGGATGAGAAAACCTGAGGCTCTGACCATGGTTACATAGCTTGTAAGGGTCTATTCTGAGTCCAGTAATCTTCCTGCACTGAGGATTCTTGAATGTGGGCAAGAAGCTGGGCTGGGCTTGGGGGGTGGGGGTGGGGGTATTGGATTAGCAGGGTGGCTGATTGAACCATCTCAGGCAAGACGAGGTGGGTGGTTGAAAGCATGGCCTTGAGTCAGATAGTTTGGGTTCATATCCCATCTTCATTACTTGCGTGACCCTGGGCAAGTTGCTTGATCTTACTAAGCCTCAGTCTTCTCACCTGTAACATGGGAGCAATAACACTCGCCTCATGGGGTTGTTACAAGGATCAATGAGGTGTACTTGGCACAGAGCAATTGCTCACCACCTGGAAGCAATTGTAATTAGCCTTCTGTAATTAGTCTCTGGGCTCTGGCGGTGCACCTGCATCTCATTCTTCAGCACATTGGTTTCCAGGACACAGCCCATCCTGGTTGAGCTTGTTTTATTAAGGATGACATTAGAGGTGCAGAAAGTTTGCCACTGGTAAATATATATTGAAAACCTCCCATATGCTTGGCATGGCCTAGGAACTAGTGACTCAAGGCTTATATCTGACGGAAAGGAGGTTCGGAGTGGGGGGAATGACGGGTTATTCTCAGCAGGTGACATAGGAAGAGGAGGGATGCTTGAAGTGGGAAGTGGAAGGGCCCTTCACTATCAAGAACTGAGATGAGCTCCGTCAGACCTAGAGGGTGGGGGGTGACTGACAGTCTCTTGTGCTCCCTGGAAAGGTTAGCCCTGGCCAGTCTGGATCCCTCTCACTCTCCGGCTGAAGGCTGATGGAGCCTCTGTGCATCTCTTTTCCAGGTGGCAGTGACATGGCTGTGCCCCAGGCTTCTCCACCGGGGCACCTCCATGAGCCTGCCAGTGCCTTGATGGATCTCCAGCCTTGCCCTCGAAGCTTGGCTGAGAGCTTCCTGGAGGAGGAGCTGCGGCTCAATGCTGAACTGAGCCAGCTACAGTTCTCAGAGCCCGTGGGCATCATCTACAATCCTGTGGAGTACGCGTGGGAACCACACCGCAGCTATGTGACCCGATACTGCCAGGGCTCCAAGGAAGTGCTCTTCCTGGGCATGAACCCCGGACCCTTTGGCATGGCCCAGACTGGGGTAAAGGGTTTGGCTTCCCCTGGATGGGGAGGGGGAGGCTCCTAGGTGGATATTTGGCTGTGGGTGCGGTGGGGGAGGAGCATGTGCCTGGCTGTGGACATGTGTGGGGCCGGGCTCCCTTGACCCCTCCCAGTACACACGCTGGCTCTGTGGTCTCAGACGCTCTCCAGGCCCCGCTGCCCAGAGTTAACCAAGCACATTAATGGTAGTTCCGTTTCCCCTGTGAGCTGTCCACTAATTGCCTCTGCGAGCCCTTCCTTCCGCTGGCCCCATCCTTACCTTGCCGGATCTCCTCTTTGCCTGGAGTGTGGTTAGGGTCTGAGAGGGACCGGGAATACCAGGTCCTCAGGGAGACTGCCTGATGGAGGTGGGTGTGGAAGAGGCGCAGGGCTTTTACCTGCTTCTGTGTCTGAGCTGAGGAGAGGCTCAGAACAGAGCCTGCTCTGGGGGCCTGCCTGCTTTCCTTTCAGACCTTGGGATGAGTGAATGCCCCTCAGTGGGGGTGCTTGGCAGATGGGGGAGGGAACGAGGCTTAAGGGCAGGAGGCTCAATCGCTTTTATTGACCCCAACTGGGGGATGAAAGGTGATCAATGATGATCGATGGAAATGACAGCTTGAGGCTCTGGGCTGAGAGGGCACCCAGAGAGCGCTGGTCAGTCCTGTCCTTGTGCCTCCTCTAACCCTGGCTATCTTTCTGTCTCAGACCATCTGTCTGCCCCAGTACCACCCATCACATCCTGTGGAGGGCCAGATAGTCCCATATACTCTCTGGATGTGGTTCCAAAGGCAAGTGGGGATAGAAGCAAACAGATTCTTCTGCACCACAGTCCACAATAAAAAACTGGAGAAGGATGGGCAAGATCAAACTATAGGGCCAGAATCATCCTTGTCTCAGGCCTTTGGGCGAAAGTGGTGGGGATGGGGGTGGGGTGTCCAGGCTGGAGCCTCATGGTGGGTATGGAGGGGTCAGCTGGTGCAGAACCCAGGTGTCCGATCTTCAGACTGAAACCCTCTTGTCTCTCCCCCCTTCTGGCAGGTGCCCTTTGGGGAAGTGAGTATAGTCCGGGACTGGTTGGGCATTGGGGGACCTGTGTTGACCCCACCCCAAGAGCACCCGAAGCGACCAGTGCTGGGACTGGAGTGCCCTCAGTCAGAGGTGAGCGGTGCCCGGTTCTGGGGCTTTTTCCGGAACCTCTGTGGACAGCCCGAGGTCTTCTTCCGTCGCTGTTTCGTCCACAATCTGTGTCCTTTGCTCTTCTTGACTCCCAGTGGGCGCAACCTCACGCCTGCTGAGCTACCTGCCAGGCAGCGAGAACAGCTTCTTGGGGCCTGTGACGCGGCCCTCTGCCGACAGGTGCAGCTTCTGGGGGTGCGGCTGGTGGTGGGCGTGGGGCGGCTGGCGGAGCAGCGGGCACGGCGGGCTCTGGCAGGCCTGATGCCTGAAGTGCAGGTGGAGGGGCTCCTGCACCCCTCACCTCGGAGCCCCCAGGCCAACAGGGGATGGGAGGCAGCAGCCACGGAGAGACTGAATGAGCTGGGGCTGCTGCCGCTGCTAACAAAGTGAGGGCCCCTGTGGCCCAGCACAGGAGGTTTTCCAGGCCCCCAGGTCATCCCAGGGCGAGCAGAGGACTGTGTGCCCCCTGGACTGGAGCCACAGGCTCCTTCTGGGTTCCCCGGTTGCTGGGACCTGCCGTGGCAGTTTTGACACTACACCCTGCATCCTTCACCTTCTTTGAGCATTGCCACTGCAGTAACCAGCTGCACGGAGGCTTGGTATCTGCAGACTGCTCTACCTCACCGTATCCTGGTGAGCCTCTGGTCAGCTGTGAGTGGCCTGAGCAATGACTTCTGAGGCTGTGTTTGAGAGAAGAGCCTGCCAGGATCCTCACCTGCCCTCTTAGAACAGCTGCCTTCAAGCTGAGCCTTTTCCTCACAGGGACCAGGACAAATGGAGGGCTATGGGTGATACGAGTGAACTTCTTCCGGGAGACGGAAGCTGGATCAGAGAAAGGATTCAGCGTGGCTGAGTGGGGAAGACCAGAAGACTGGCTTTCTTCATCTTGGCCTTGAGACTTCATGACTTTGTCATCTTTATGACTTTGGACCAATTTGATGAACCTCTCCAAGCCTCGGGATCCTCGTCTGTAAAATGGGGCTCCCTGCCGCATGGGGTGGGGTTAAGTGAGATAACACTTGAAAGTGCCTTGCGTCGTGCCTGGCAGGTGGGGGCTCCTGCTTCTTGCTTTTTTGCCTCTTGATTGGGGTGTCACTGTACCACACACTAAAGGGAGAGCTCCCCCACTCCGAAGACCTTGCTGGGTGAGGGGTGGATCCTTGTCCTGCTACAGGTGGACCGATAACTTTATGAAAAACCCAGCCTGTGATTTTTTTCAGTCCGAGCATTAAAAACTCTCAAACTGGGGCACCTAGGTGGCTCAGCCAGCCTTTGGTGCGGTCGTGATCTCTCAGGTCATGATTGCTCAGGGGCCCCACTCAGCAGGGAGTCTGGCTCTCCCTTCTCATATCCCTCTGCCCCTACCCCACTAGCGCACTCTCTCTCAAATAAATAAATAAAATCTTTAAAAGGAAAAAAGGCTCCTAAACCCTTCGTGTGGGTCCTTTTTTTCCCCTCTCCTGCATGTCTGAGATGGAAGGGTTAGTTTAGATTTTCCCTTAACCTCTTCACTGTTTGCAAGGTGTTCTTGTGGGTCTCTAGGGAGATGATGAAAAAAAGAACTCTCCTGGTGTTACCAGAGCTTAAGGGTCTCAGGGGTTTGTCTGCTACTCAGGGCCCTGTGGGGAGCAGGCGATGGGTGGATGGGAGCACGCTATTTCTGTCTAACTCATTTCTTATGTCTGTAGGATGACTGGTTGGTGTGCCCTTTAATAGGGCTGGAAAGGTGACTCAAGTTGGGAATAGAGTAGGTCTTGCAACCTTAATGAGGAACACATGGTTGGATTCTAGCTCCTGGGACAGGCCAGCTTCCAAAATGAAAAAGATTTTTAGTATAGGTGAGCCTGGCTGGCTCAGAGGAGCATGAGACTCATATCAGGGTTGCGAGTTGGAGCCCTATGTTGGGTGTAGAGATTAATTAAAAAAAATACATATATATATAATAAAAATTTTTTTTTTCTTAGTGGAAGTGTCCCCTTTATCATTTATATGATGAAGAATTTAACTGGCTTTTGTCAGTTGATTCCTGCGAGGCAAGTCTCTAAATCCTTGGAATTTCCCAAGTGATAGGAGGGTCTTTGTTATTCACGGAGGGCTCCTCAGACCACACACCCAAGTTTATGCTGAAGTTGACTCTGGCTGAGGCCTATGCCAGAAAGGCCAACCATTAGATTGGCGTTAGATTGGTGGGTTGGGGCTATGAGCCAGGTGATACCAGCTTGAACTGGGGGCTGGAGGTCGAATTCACCATGGGGGTCAGTGATTTCAATCAATAATAGCTATGTAATGAAACCCTGGACACACACTTTGGCGAGCCTCCTGGGTGGTGAATACAATGGGTGTGGGGTGCTCTGTCCCATTTCGGTGGGACAGTTGGGACTAGCGGCTAGGTTTGGAACCCTTTCAGATCCCTGCCTCTTTTTATCTCTTGGGCTGCTTCTGATTGGTATCCTCTGTAACAAAACCATGGTTCTAAGAAAGTGCTTTCCTGAGTTCTGTCATTCGAGTGAATTACCGAACCTGAGGGGATCATGGGAACTCCTGAATTGTAGCCTGGGGACCTCTGAACTTGTAGCTGGCACATGAAGTGAGGGAGGTCTTATTAGGGACAGTCCCCTTAGACCTGTGGAGAGTGTGCTGACTCAGGGGAGTTACCATCGGAATGGCATTGAGACTTCGCACCCCACCCCCCACACACCTTAGACTCCTTTCCTCTCTGCTGTCAGAGCCGTGGTGCTGAGCTGTTCCTGCCCCGTGGTGCAGGGCCCTGGCTGAGACACTGGGCTAGGTGCACAGAGAGGGAAGCCATTGTGCCCCTCTGCATTTAGCCAAGGTGGAGAAGGCTCTCCAGAGGAAGTGGCATTTCCGGTGGCCTTAGAGACTGGGAGTTCGGGAGAACATCGTTATGTTCAAGGGGTGGTGCGTAGATGAGCTGACTTTGCCCGGTTGGGAGGAAAAGTTAGAGAGAGGTAAGTCGGAGCGATCTTCTGAAGGCTCTTGAATGCTGGACCAGTCTTGAGCACTGGAAGTCCATCGGGGAAAGTGAGATGCACAGATCACACACACTTAGAACACCCAACAGACAGGCTGAAGGAACAGGCCACATGGGATGCAGGGTAGGTGCAGTGGGGTCAACAAGGTAACAGGGAGGTGATTATAGGGAAGGTGTCCTGGTGGGACAGCACCATATAGGTGAGAGCCTGGAATTGGGGGCAAGACTCATGAGCTGGGGTAGGGCCGGGCAGTGCACGGGGGCACTAGAACGGTCATGACCAGGGTGGTGGCTTGAAGACTTAGGTGCCGACATAGTCAGTGCTGGATCTGGCTTCTAGTAGAGCTGTCGTCCTTGCTTTTTGGGGTACATCTTGTCCACAAAGGCTGAGTAGGGTCCTGGGCCTGCCTTTTCCTAAGGGCACTATAGTAGTCTGCCAGGGCTGCCCTAACAAAAATACCACAGACTGGTTAGCTTAAACATGCTTCTTTTCTCAGCGTTCTCACTCTTGAGGCTGGGAGTCCAAGATGCAGCTCCCAGAAGGCTTGGTTTCTCCTGAAGCCTCTCTCCTTAGCTTGCAGATGGCGGCTGCCCTCTCACCATGTCTTCCCATGGCCTTTTCTTTGCATGTGTCTCCCTGCTGCCTCTTTTCTTACAAGGACACCAGTCATTGGATTAGGGCTCTACCCTTATGACCTCATTTAACCTCAGTTACCTCTTTATTTCATTATTTATTTATTTGAGAGTATGTGTGAAAGAGCGCACAAGCAGAGGGAGCTGCAGAGGGAGAGGGAAAAGCAGACTCACCGCCGAACAGGGAGCCTGACTAAAGCTCCCATCTCAGGACCCTCAGATCATGACCTGAGCAGAAGGAAGACGCTTAACCGACTGAGCCATCCAGGCACCCCTCAGTTACCTCTTTAAAGACCCTTTCTCCAAATAAATTTGCGGGGGTTAGGATTCTAACATGAATTTGGGGAGACACAATTTGGCTCATAACAGGCATCTCAGGTCATGTCAGTGATTTTCGTGTCCCCAACCTATGTCAGCCTGTAACAAAAGAGGGTACTCAGGAGTACCTTTCTTCCAGTCTAGGTGGGTAGGGTGGTGGAGTGGCTCAGCTACCTGAAAGGGCCACCTGACTGGCTGCCCGTGCCCCCCCAGTTCATTCTAGAACAGTTTTTTTTCAGTGCAGATGAGATGTCTTTAAGGAGGGGAAACTAATTGTTTTCTACTGAGCCAAAGGAACGGAGACTTGAACTGCAACAAAGCAATATTGTGAGAAATATTTTAAAACCAAATTGAAGTGCTTTGGGATTATCTAGAGTTTTGCAGTCTGACAGAGTAGCCACTAGCGGTGTGTGGCGGTTTAAGTTAATGGGGCACCTGGGGGGCTCATTCAGTTAAGCTTCTGACTTTGGCTCAGTCATGATTTCAGGGTCCCCAGGGATCCAGCCGCACATGGGTTCCCTACTCAGCAGGGTTCCCTACTCAGCTCCTCCCTCCCTTCCACTCCTCTCTCACACAAATAAAATCTTAAAAAAAAAAAAGCTTTAAGTTAATGAAGTAAAATTAAAAAATTCAATTCCTCAGTCACTAGCCATATCTCAAGTTCTCAAGAGCCACACATATACCACAGATATGGAACATTCCATCATTGCAGAAAGTTCTCTGGGGCAGCATTGATCAAGAGATCAGTGGCTTACAACCCTGCCCGTGAAATGGAATTCACCTGTAGAGGTTTTAAAAAAAAGGCACGTGTCTGAGTTCCCCTTTAAGAGATTTTGATTTGGGAGGTCTGCAATGCAGCCTCTTATCTCATTTTCCCAAGCGGATGTGCAGCCAAGGTTAAGGCAGGATTGCAGTGGGTGCCTCGACGGCAAGGAGAGGGTCACTTCTACTCCCTTCCCAAGTAGGTAACCCAACACCTGGCACAAAGGAAGGTTTCAGGATGACTCTGCAAGTAATGCATGAATCTGGCTTTGGAGATCTACCCCAGGGTGCCTGTCCCAGTACCACAAGTTGCTTTTGCCCAGTGATGGTGATTGAAATTCTGGTTCAGAGGACTGACAGAGGCTTAGACTGACGGAGGCACACACACACACACACTGCCACATGGACACGTATGCGGTGGTAGAGGCCAAGCTATGCTTGGGTCAGGGTGCTTCTGAGATGGAAGGCTGGACTGTTTTGAGAAAGAAAAAGACTCTTCCTACTCTTTTTTCTTGCTGAAACAGGATGATGTAAAAGAAGATGGAGTCTTGGGTTTGACCACCGTGTGGTCTTTCACTTTCCTTTCCCAATTCAACAAGCATTTATTAATGTGGGCTCTGTGCCAGTCCCCATGCCAGGCTCTGTAGGGAGTGACAGAGGTGAATGCGATGACCTCTGTCATTGTCCTCATGTTGCTCACTGCCCGGTGCTGGGAGATGCAGACATATAATTATAATCAAAAGGAAAATGTGTTGTGAGCAACTTCTAAACACAGTGCTCTGGGCACAGGGACTAAGGAAATGATTAGCCCTCCGAGTGTGGACAGGAGGTTCGAGTGCCTGTGAGGGAGGGCTGTGACTGCAGGTTTCCCGCATCCCT